CTGGCAGAGCCGGGCTCCTGCCCAAGCCCTCTGCAGAGCGCTGAGGGGAAGGAAGGCTGATGCCGGGAAGGCTGAGGCAGCCCAAAGGACTGGGATGAGTTTCCCTGCCTGACTCGAAATGCCTGATTAGCCTCAGGCCAGGCAACGAGATCTGGTAAGAAGAATGGCTCTGTTCTGCACCCTGTGGTCAGGCGGTGCATCCGGCAGGGCTCAGCCTTTGCCCCGCACAGCTGGGAGAAATGCCCTGGGGTCATCACAGAAACTGAGGGGGGAAAGGGATTTTTCCAGCGGAGAGATTCTCACTCCAGCACCTCTGCAAATCTAAAGCAAGGAGCAGATCCTAATGCCTGCAAGCCCCAGGGAGGCTGTGCTACTGAAGCAGCTGCTTGCTTTCCTTCCTAGGGATCTGGCATCTCCCGCCAAGGGCCCGCTCCTGCCAGCCACTTTCAGGCTCTGAACCCCTCCCTTCTCCTGTTCCATGTCTGCAGGGAGTGGGACCCTGGGTCTGGGGCCACGCGGGTAGAAGGGGCTGGGGTGAGAAGCATGTGGATTGCTGCCTCCAGCCAGAGCGGGACGGCCTGGTGCTGCCCGGGAGGAGAGCCGTGGCGAGGCCGTCCATGCTTTATGTGGAGGTTAAACAGCCTTTCCTTGCTGGAAGCTGGGTTGTGGTGAGCAGCCCTCCCTCCCTCTTGCCACTCAGACAAAGAACGGGAAGGCAGGGGGAGGGGATGCGACTGTATCTGGGTTATCCGGACAGAGGAGGTGTTAGTCCCCACTATCTGAGCCCCTAAGGGACCTGCAGGGCCACCCCTGTCCCCAGCGAGCTGCTGCGAACACCAGAGGCAGGCAGATGTGAAGGGTGCGCTGCGGTGGTGGTGTCTGCTGCTGGCCACGTACGGCAGCCTTCCAGGGGGAGGTTTTGGGGTGGATCTGTGGGTGTTAGAAACAGGAGCCAGCTGGGACCTCTGGGACCTCTCCCTTGCCCTTCTGCCCTGCCTTCCCCAGCCCCAGATGCTGCAGCTCTCCCTGTTTCGGTGCCGAGCAGAGCACCTCCTGTGAGCCAGAGATTATCCCTCGGCAGCCCAGACTGGGGCCACCTCCCACCAGGAACTGGGCAGCAGAGATCTCACCAGCAACCGCCCTCTTAAATGAGCTTCGCTTAGCATGCAGAACAAAGCAGCAGGGAAAAGGGTGGCAATGCAAGCAGTGGATGTAAGTGGTTAACCTTGGCTAACCCCCTATTCATTATCGGCTGTACTGGCCATAGTGCCCTATCATGTATTCATTACAGGGGACAGCTGGAGGGGCTACGGGATGTGCCTGGGATGCGTAATGCTACCCCTTGACCAGTCGGTCAGAGCGCTAATGAGGCTTCATGGCAGCATGAGCATTGCTGCACATAAAACAGAGCCATTCCCAGGAGACCAGGTAGACACGTTCTCATGGCTGGAGGTGCCTCTCATAGCTGTGGCCCTGGTTTTGCACACCCTGACCTCCCTGGCAGGCTGTTCCTCAGCTGGCTCTTTGGATTCCTCTGTGGGAGCCAAGAGGTGGAAAATTGCCTTCAGAAAGCTGAGCGCTTGGGTAGCTCTTTGCAAAATGGGGGCTTCCCTTTGTGAGTCTGCATGGGAAGGCACCCCACACAGAAAGGAAGGCAAGTGACCGAGAGGAGAAAGGGAAGTTACCTACTCTGAGACCTTGAATGTCCAAAATCAAAGCACCCAGGGCAACATCACTGATGTAAAATCCAGGAAATATTCAAGGAGACTTCTGGACACCTTTTCTCCTGGTCTCAGGGTTTTGTATAGGTGCTCAGGAACCTGACGCTGAAACATCTGCTCCAGCCACTGCAAGCTCCTGGCTCTGCAAAGGGATGGCCATGTACTGCGATGTCCACAGCAGAGCTAGCAACATCTTCTGGCTCTGGGCAAAGCATCCCCCAGTGAGATTGAGGGATGAGTTATAAACCGCTTAGTGAGCCTTGGGGTTGGCTGCCAGCAACTTGCGTCCTTCCTCCTCCTCCTTGTGTAAGAATGAGGAGTTGAAGGAATAAAGGAGAGGATAACAGACCACCAAGGACAAGCTACTGCCCAGGCAGCAAAGGGATCACAGTCCGCAGGGCCCAGGTCCTGCACCCATCCCATTCAGCTGCTCGTCTGGGCTCTCTTTCCACCTCGACCTGTTCCCTGCCCACCTCCAGGGTTTGTTTGCCCTGCAGTAGCCAAGTGCCTCACCAGGGCCGCAGCCCCCAGCCTCACATCCCCTCATCATTCCCTGTCTCCCTTTCTTCTCTTCCACACTGGGGCAGGTGGGACCCCAGCAGGGCAGTGTGAGGTGCGGACTGGAGGATGCTGCAGCAGGCAGGAGGGCCAAGC